AATGACGGTGTCCACCCTGTACTCTACAAACAAAGAACCACATTCATAACTGAGGTGGTTTTATAGTCAGTATTAAAGTACTCATGTTGTGGGGTAAACCGGCGTACCATGAGAAAACACCAGACCCCCTGGGATCGAACGGTGGCTCATTCTGTCGTGAGGCAGGCGCACCCACCGCTCACAGCTTGTTCTTGTACATGATTGGATAACAATGGTCACAGCCAGTATTATTTTTAAATGTACAGCTCCCAAAATAAAACACTGCTGTGAACGCTGAAACAAACGACTTCATGCACTAAATTATCTCCTAACACATCAAAAAAAAAAAAAAAAACCAAGGTGTAGCCACAGAAGTCAGCACAAACGGGGGAACGTGACTCAGGACCGAAAGGAACAGCTCATATCACAGGACTGTGGCAGAATTTAGTACTGCAGAATTATACTGTAAGTAATGATATGAACTTTATGGTAAATGTATTGTTAAAATTAGAGTATATGTATAGTGGATTACTCCCATCTTATTAGTACTTTCTATACCCAGTACAGTAGACTTTTCTATTAAGACAAGCTCTGGATGGACACATAAAATGATGTGATGGGCCAGATTTGGCCCACCAGCCTCGAGTTTGGAAATAACCCGTGGAGTAATAGAGTACTCTAATCTCTGATCAAATATAGGGTTTATTTTACAACTGCAGTTACACTAAAAGGGAGCCGCCCTGCTGGCTAGCAGTGGAACTTCACCTCTCAGAGCGATCCTTCAAGGCTGACAAATTACAGCCTAAAGAGAACATCGATCTCTGTGTTCCTCCCTTTATCTGCTCTGCTCTGCTGATGTATTTACTCTCAAATGATCAATGGTCAATACTTCAGTATCTAACCATCTTTAACATTACGTGTGTGTGTGTGTGTGTGTGTGTGTGTGTGTGTGTAAGCAGCATGGCGTTTCAAAGGCCTAAATATGTCTCTTAATTAAACCCTGGGCTGCAGTGGCTGTAAGTTATTAAAGACCCATAGCACGTAGTACACACACACACACACACACACACACACACACCTCCTTCAACATGAAAACACTCCACTCTTAGGCTTCCAACGGCTTAATGCATCTCAATATTTCAACTTCTGCAGCAGCACAGTGACCTACTTGCACCCGATGAATTATTTCCTTGACTCTTGGAAGAAAATACCAAAAGAACTCAAGTAGAACAGGCACCGAGTGGAATTCACCGTTCAAAAGAGCCATAGTTTAAATGGAGATTGGGCAACTAGAAAACTCAAAAGAATATTATCAACGTGAGGACATGACTGTCGCTGTGGCCCAATCCATAGATTGGGCCACATCCTTCTTTAACAAGGCTGTAAATGCTTCAAGAAAAATCCACCATCACTGTAGAAGCAAATGAATGAATGATCCAATTCTCTGATCCAACACTGATAAACTCAGTGTTCTCAAAAAAAAGATCAAGCGTCTACATTTGAATCCATTAGCAAATATCATAGATTGAGCATCAATATTTATTCCAACACTACAGTATGGAGCCAGCAGTGTTACTTTACTGCCTGGTTTTCAGCATTCTCTAGAGGCACATATTCGATGTCAAAGATAGTGTATATATATATAAATATATATATTTACACAAACATACATATATAAATATATACACATGTATAAATATACATAAATATATGTATGTATATGGAATATTTTAAAAAGAGTCTCAACATATCAGTGAGACATCAGATTTATATCTTACATCTTAGACTGATATTGATAAATGATGAGCAGAACAGTATGTTTGACAAAAAAAAAGCCCAAGAAAAATAGACAACATTTTGTCAATAAAAACAAAAACATTTAATTGTGCATATCTTGCATTTCATTAACCCTAAGTCAATATAATTAAGAATAATTAAACCTGAATTATTCTATGAACCAGGATGCATCAGTATCATTAGTGCTAACTTCTTTTACTGCTAGTAGTACTTCTGTTAAAAAACATAAAACATAAACATAAAAATGAGAGATTTATGTGTAGGTACCATCCCGACAATGAACAGATTTTTTTTTTTTTTTTTAAAACAAAATGTTCGATAAAATAAAATCCGTAAAATATTTATTCGTAGCCCGGCTGCCGTTTGACATCAAATAACCATAATACAACCCCATGCACTTTACAAGACCCTGGATGATGAGGTTCCTGCTCCTGCACAGGCTGCAGCAGCTTCAACATATTTTCTCTTCTTCAATATCTTTTACAAAACTACACTTTTATTTTCCCCTCATCCAGTTTCTGACCACGTCCTGGTATTCAACAACTCACAAATCTTATTGCAGACGACTTCTCAAAACTTAGCATGAACTTCAGGAAGAAAAAAAATGTATTTTTTTTTTTTTTTTGTGCCTTGGTTGAGATACTGTTCAGTTTGGCAGTTTGGAGCCTCAAGCGTATTAATGTTGAAAACCCCTGTAAGCCAGTTCCTCTTCCAGATCATTCTAGTCTAAGACTGATCCCACTTATGTTGAATTTATTCCTGCTTCATGCAAAGTTATTCATCATCCAATCACTGCGGCAGGTTTTTTCAGTATACGAGTCATTATGTCCATTACTGGTGACGGAGAACAGGACAGAGTCGTCCATGTCGGCTGGAAGCGCCACTGAATACATGAATGTCGTCCAAGTTTGAGTTGTTTTTTTTATTATTATGACCTTTTTATCAGCTGCTTCTGAACACATCTGCATTCAGTTACTGTTTATTTTAATTATAAATTGTCTTTTTTACAAATCTGCAAGAACTAAGAGGAAGAGAGAAGCTTTTAATTATAAATTGTCTGCAAGAACTAAGAGGAAGAGAGAAGAGAGTTGAAGAAGTACATGAAGAATTACTGGTCTTGAACCTGCAGTTTTTGCTAAGTTGTTACCAGGATTCACTCCAAAGAAGAGACACTGAGAACTTTGAATCAATAACTGACAACACAATTGATAATTTTAAAATGAATAAAAGTAAAAAAATAAAATAAAATGCTGTTGTCTCCAGTTTGTCAGACTCACAGTGGTTTGATATCTGGTGAGTTTTTACACCAGACGTCCTTCCTGACGTGGCCCAACCTGGGATTTTCAGAACCAGATGGAACCAAAGCAGAAGTCTTCTGGAGGCAGCAGGAAAAGAAATTCTCAACCCCATTCTCTTTCAGTCTTTGTCCCACTGAGTATTACAATTTGGGCATTAAATGTAAAAAAAATTATAAAAAAAAGAATGACTAATGTCTCTAAAGACAAAAACAGCGTTGGCACCAAATGATTAAAACAATACAATGACTTTTTTTAATACAAATATTCGATTATTTCCCCCACTGTGACCTGTGCTGCTGTTGAACTACGACACCCCCACAGGCCTTAGCGTAGCAGTGTCACCAAACAAACATCATACCTCACTATAAATATTTAAATGAAGCCCACACTCGTTCTCCATTCCAGGAATAACACATTTCAATATATTTGACTCCTGACATATGCAGGTTCCCTGTTGATTTCCACTTTCTCCATTTAAAATGAGAGCCCTGAGGAAGAGGGGGAGAGAGAGAGAGAGAGGGGGAGAGAGAGAGAGAGACAGCCGAGCAGGAGAGCGTCACAGGCGGGAGACGAGACAGACAGACAAGAGACGGGTCGACGGGGGAAATTGACAGGCACCCAAAGATGAATCATCTCTACACTCAGCCTGAATTGCCCATTTAGCTCTGTGTCTCCAAGGTTGACTGTGTGTTTGTGTGTGTGCGTATGTTGATGTGTGTGTGTGTGTGTGTGTGTGTGCTGCAAGTGCTGACGGCGGCACCATTTGCTCTGCGGTGAGGCTCCACAGATCGGTGCGAAGTGAGAACCTCAGTCTGGATCAGCAGCGTTGTGTGTGTGTGTGTGTGTGTCAGAGAGGAAACAGAGAGAGACGTCACATTCCAACACCGACCAGGGAGAACCGAGAAGACGAGAACGTTCTGTACACACGGAGAGACGGTCGAGGTCCAACAGAGGTTTGACAAAAAAGTTCAGGTCAGGTCACTGACTGAACACGTCAAAGAAAAACCTACTGTTATCATCAGTCTGTTTCAGTTCGAGTTCAAGTCAAGTTACCACTGAGGTGCTCTGAGTAAGGCACCGTCCCCACACACTGCTGCCCACTGTTCACATGGTTGATGGGTTAAAAACAGAGGTCACATTTGACTCTGTGCAGTGGTGAGCTGTGTCACAATGACAAGTAGTTCACTTTACTTCCTTCGTAGACGGACAGCAGGCTGCGCTGTTGTCGCACCATGATCTGATTGGCCTTCTGTTGCTATCAATTAAAGCAACATCGTGACTGAGAAAGAAAAGTCAGTTTTTTTTATCAGGGCGCACGTCCCTCATCAGTCACTGAAAGACATCAGAGCAACTTCCCAGATGGGAGCGGTGAGACTTCCTGCTCTTCCCAAGAAATGTGGAAGAAACCCTGGAGATTTAATTAAGCTCCATTTCCCTCCAGCTGCCTCTTGCCATGTCCCACTCTCTCTCTCACTCGCCCTCTCTCTCTCACTCTCTCTCTGCAGTGTCACATCTCTTCATCCCAGAAATGAAGCTTCATATAGAAAACCCTTCCCACTGACTGCGGTCGACACCGAGCGTGTGTTTGTGCAGAGGAGAAACCAGGCCGCACACATGGTCGGTCTCAAAGAACTAACTAACTAACTAACGTCACTAACCACGAGTGTGGAAAACAGGAGTCAACCCACCTGACACAGCAACACAATCGATAAAAACAGACAAAGATTTCTTTAATAATCTCCTCGGACATATTTATTACTTTCATTTTAATACCTAATCTGACCAGCAGGTGTTCAGGGTTTGGGAACCAAACAACAGCCAAAGTGAAACAGTTTGTGAACAGCTGCAGCTTCATCGTGAACAGGAACACATTCTGGTGTAATGAGTTAGAAGTCCTTATCTGTGTTTGATGTTCTGTGTTCTCACCTTTGCTGCTGACTCCACATGGTGACGCATGGTTTGGAAACAGGAAGTGACCAAATCATTGCCAGCCCATGTCCAGCCCTTTTATGGGACTGTGCCAAGTGTGACATGGAGAAGAGGGGTGAGAGGGAAGTGTTGTTTTCTGAGCCAGAATGAATTTCCTTTATTTAAAAAACACTGTGGTTTCTACAAATGTGTGGTCCCCGCCCCCTGCTTTGGGAACCACTGTTGCAGAATTTTCAAATCAGGGCTGCTGTTCAGAAAATTTACTAATTTTTTAAAGTCCAGCACATTTTTAAGGATGATTTTCTTGTCTCCGACAGCGTCAATTATGCAAATCAGACTGTGACGTCATGTGATGTCTTTAATGACAGAAGATGGCGACATTCGACAATATTATTGAGTTTGCAACAAGGCTTAGTAGATCAGTATGGAGGTGGCTATTAAACAGGTCATACTGATGTTTAACCACCAGGGGGCTCTGTGATTGGTTGACTATTGGTATGGACTGTCACTGTAATATTTAAAAAGATAATGTTACTGATTCTTAATGACGACTGCCGACGGATGCGTTCAGAAATTTGCAAATTTACAACTTGTCGACATTTCTAAAAATGAAGAAGGAAAAAAAATAAAGAAAAAGTCTTGGTTATGGCAGAGTTAGTGTAAATTAGCTGCAGACACACGTGTGTCAGGAGGAGGTAACGTTTTTTCAGACATTTTTTTAATACCCTAACTGTGTTCCCTTCTCTCTCCCTCTCTTCTCTCCCTCCCTCCCTGCTTCCTCACTCTATTTATACCCAACCATCGAGTGCAGAGGAACTAATGAAGCACAGCCACAGCAGTAAATCACACACATTCCTATTACTGTATCCTGGTTGTGCATTTGTAAATGTGAGATTAGTCAGAAAGTCCCTCTCATGAACCTTTAGAAATAATCAGGAAGAATAATCTGCATTTTTGTCTTCCAGAGACGGAAAAGTTGCCGTTCTACTTCTGCTGCTGCCGAAGTTTCTGTCACTTAGGAAACTCAGAAAGAAAGAACGTCAAACTCCAAAGTGACAAAACGACATATTGTTGCTGGTGTCAGCAGCCGAGTGACATCTCAGGTGGGCTGTGGATAAAGACAAACGGTGAAAACTCTGTGAAAAAAGCTGTTTTCTGTATACTAATCCTATAAACACATAATTATATAATTTACTCTTTTTTTTCTTTGAAAATCTATGAGCACAACTGTTATAAACGAGACCATGTGACAAGACACGGCCGGAGATGTGCTGTGTTTTTGAATGCAGCCTAGAAACAAGTCGTTTAAGGCAGGTTTCGTAGTGTAGTGGTTGTCACCACTGCTTTACATGCAGAAGGTGTTGTGTTCGAGGCCTTGAAGCATCGCATACTTAATGGCACCTCGTGTGGTAGCCGTGCATATTGCAAATAATTACACTGTGATGGTTCCCATGTGGGACGAATAAGGGATCTTATATATATTTTTAAATATCACCATATTATTATTACAAGTGTACTGCAACATCCAAGCTGACATTATTGTTGCATTGCTGCCACCTACTGGGCTTGAGTGTGTATATCAGTGTAAGCCATGTGTTAGAATTTGGGAATGTGAGAGAAATTATTAGTTATTAATGTGTTGTTTTTGCTGATTATACTTGTTGACAATACTGTACTTCCACCGTCCTCTACTACAGCCTCAATGAACATGTTTGGCCTGAGGACCATTCTCACTGAGTCATTTATAACACTGATCATGATGTATTTATTCAAACAGCAGAAAGTTCACTCTCTGTGCTCTGTCTTTTCTCCATCCGTGAACTGACGGGTGAACGCGGTCAATTATCAAGTGCCACATGCTATTAACCAATCAGCGCAATGTTTGATTTGATAATTGTGTTCTGCTCATCAACCGCCCACTTGTTATTGTGTGAAAAGTGGGCCTCATCAGCGCCACGCTATTATGCTGCACAAGGCAATCTAAAAATAAATAAATAAATAAAAACACATGGCAATCTAAAAAAAATAAATAAATAAAAACACATTCAGCCGCCATCACAAAGACTTCTCTTTGTGGTGTTTGACTGACTCAATCAGATGTGATTGGATTTCTGGACCTGTTCTAAAGCAGCAGGCGTTCAGGAGGTGAATGAGAGAGAAGCTCGTTCTGCTCCGGCGCCGCCGACACAATGAAGAGCCATTTTGGACTTAAACTCCACATAAATGCTGCAAACATTTGGAAGAAAACTCCACATGAGTGCTTATAGCACCAACAGTGAAAGCCTTTCAGAGATGACAGANCACTGTGTCCTGGTACCGTCTAATATTAATGCAGCAGGCGAAGAGCTACAGAGAGATGGCTGGAAACACATTTTAATGTTACATCATCATCATGTAAGTTATAATTAATGAAAGGATCCATTAAGACCAACTGGTGTTGTCATAACACATCAGGACGAGGAGGATTTCATTCCTACATAGGGTGATGCTGAGGTACAAAGATTACATTTGGCGGCTACAATGAGGACAAATTGCAACATTTTCAGTCAGTCATTGAGACTGACTCGGTTTTGATTCCTTCATTAATTTTAGCAGACAATACAATTATAGGAGATTGCACCAGTGAATCACGGGTCGTGCTTCTCTCTCAGTCAACAGATTTACTTCTGAATTGTGTCATAAATATCTGCTTCTTCCCATCTTTCACTCCACTCCACTTTATTTTGATTGCATGGCGGTAAAAACTGAAGCAGCATCAGTGGATTTACAAACTGATATACATGTTAATCAGCCGGCAGAGCCAAGAACCCCCGCTCTTCACCGCAGGACACAACGATAATGAAGTTTGAAGTCTTTCTGTTTCTTCGCTTGTCTCAGGTTCCTCTGCTCTTCCTGCACTGCCCCCTTCAGACAGCCTTGAACTCTGGTGCCTTTGGTAATTTCACAATAATCATCTTTAGAAAAGCATCACTCAAAAAGAAATGTTGGTCGACTTTTGGAAAAGCAGTTAAATTTCATCAATGTTTAGCTGTAGAAATTCTGCATTTTCCACAGTCAACAATGGATTTCTTTTTAATTCTAATAAATACCCAGGGTCCGCTTTAATTATCTTTCCTATGTTTTTTGTCCCATCATACATCATGCATGATCAAATAAGATGATGTTTTTCTGAACATCCAACACAGAAGTCGTCTAAGACTTAAAAAAGTTCTAAGTCGTTCAACTGTGACATTTAGATTGAATCTGTCTTTTTAAATCAAAATAAACTGACAGTGAAAAAGACAGGAAGTTGACAATTTACAAGTTTTAATAAAAAATCCTCCTGTGTTGAGTGTCTGTGTGTGTGTGTGTGTGTGTGTGTCCCTGACATAAAATGCCAATGCATCAAGGAAGTATTGAAACAATTTTATTCCAAACTCCTGGTGTCAACTTTATATTAGCACAAGAAAAACTGAGGGCGACTTTGTTTTTTGTTTTTTCCCGTGGTGACTTTTCTGATTATTTAAATTAGTACAAAACCCCTCATCCACATTAATCCAGTCATTTATTCCCTGAAATATTTCTGCTGGATGTTGTGCCCGTGTGTGTTTTGTTGCTGTAAATACGTTTTCTCTGCGACGGCGCTTCGAGCTGCAGCACCGCGGGGCTGCAGACAAATTGTTTTGTTAAAACAATTCGAAAAGTTTTTCTCCTGTGATCTATGTGTGTAGTGGGGTTTTTGTTCTCTTTTTAATGTACTTGTAACTTTAATGTTTAGTTTAGTGTGATTTATATATATATATAAATATATATATATAAAAAGTAAGTGTGGGCTCCACTAGACAAATATCTGATGTAAGGTTTTATGTTTGATAGATAAAAAGATTCCCTGGAAAATCTATATTTTAGAAAGAGTAAATTATAGACAAAATCCTCTAATGTGCTGTTCTTCACGTATTCCATTCTGTTTTCCTGGAGGTATATTAAAACCAAAAAAAAAGTCAAAGACAAAGCAATGAAGATCAACCACCACAATAAATCTTTCGTCCTGCCACTGAGCACTCTGGGCTTCAATTATTCAGCAACACTTTTCCCTCTGTGAAAGGAGCTGAAACATCGCACCACCAAAGCACGTCAGATACATTTTTATCCTCGTGTGAGTTTCAGGGGCAGCATGCAGACATTTGCATATGTGTTCTGTTGTGTTCTCATTGATTAAAACCCCCTGAGGTTCTGCGGCTGTGACTGATTCTGAAGAGTAAGAAAACAGGAAGAGAGCGCGTGGCTGTCCCGTGATGTGTTCTCTCACTTGATTAACTGAGCTTCAGCTCCCTCCGAAGGAAAGCCTAAACTCCCATATGCAACAACGTGTGCTGCTGCTGCTGCATTGTTCTAAGGCGGAGTGCTCTCATGCACGCTGCTGCTGCTGCATGCGTGCCGACAGAGGATTCCACAGATTCTGCTGACATGGAAGCCTGTTTTTTGCCATTTTCTTCATTATCTCCAGCTTCTTCTGCACCGTGGCTTCAGCTAAATTATTCAGATGTGCTTCTGCTCTCGGTTCCAACCCAGTGCTACATGTTAATGCGCAATTAGACCCACTTTGGCCTGCACTGATCTTTTTGTGCACATGCTGTTACTATATACGTCCAAATAATCCGACCCCTGTGACCGCAAATGGATGAAAAACGAGGTTGTACCGTGTCCGGTCGTGTGATGGGCTGAGAGTTCCCTTTCTTTCTCTCTGTTGTTTTTTAAAATCATTTGCACTGATTGCTGAACATTGCAGCATTTGCGGTGTTGGCAAATACACACAGAGACCCACTGTGAACTGTAATCATTTGGTTGTAATAATCACAAAAACAAAAGAAATGTAATTTGCTTTGGGCCCATGATACCCCATTGGACCTGGTGTACTGCCCTCTGCTGTGCTGGGCTACGACAACCAGCTCTGATTTGGTCGATTAAAATTCAATGAAGTGAGCAAAACTCACAAAACAGCTCAGGTTGCAGCGGCGTTAGGTTTCAATCTCCAGCAGCAGCAAAAAGTCTGGGAGCTCAGTTACTGCTTGGCTCCGACCTCTAACCTATGGGTCTTCAACCTGTGGCTCCTGGACCAAATCGAATTAAATCTTGAACCTTGAATTCTAAAATAACATAAAGAGAAGAGGGTTGGATGAAGGACAAGGAGAAACCAAATGATGAGGTTTCTCTAACAACAGTCCAGTCTGCTAGGGTGTGATGTGATGTGATGTGATTTGTTGTGATGTAATGTGATGTGAGGTTGGCTAAACATGTTTCTCCACAGCCCTGAAGGCAGCACATAATCAGGGCACAGTATAAAGGTCTCAGGTGTGTGAAGAAGAGTTTCAACCGTGTATTTGCAGACGATGAAGGTTAGCTTTGTTTTATGACCTTTGCTGCTAATTTAAAAGAACCTGTTCTTTAGGTCAGTGAAGCAGCTCCCTTAAAGCAGTACTTCTCAAATAGTGGGGCGGGTGAGGTGCCAGGAGGGGGCGTGAGGGTCTTGTACCACTTGTAATGCTTGAATAATAACAAGACTCAGTCACTAGATGGCAGTAACTCATACAGTGGTTTTTACAGATACAAATATACATGTTATCAGGCTCTCAATAGTATTTTAATCTGCGAGGGTGTTAAAACATTTCTGTCCCCAAGGGGGCGCATGACAGAAAATAACTGAGAACCACTGCCTTAAAGGTTCTCCTGTTTGATTTCCTTTAACTAAAGTAGACAAACTAAAGTGGAGTCAGGGAGACAAAGCTGTGTCTGTTTTTAAGGCTTTGGGAGCAAAACGAGCGTCGGCACAGTCTGGAGAACACACCAAGCAACAAGACCGAGAAAAGGAACCAGAGTGTGGACGGTGGTGCTGCATCGTGGGAACCAACAAGGACAGCTGCAGTCAACAGGAGCCAATCGACTGATTCTATTCAGTGCAAAATAAAGAATATTATTTTCCAACCTGACATTCAACCTGTGCTCTCAGTGCTGCTGCTGTCGCTCCACACGGCCTTCATCTGTTCTCAGCTTCGACTCCTTCCACTTGTCTGGCACCCAGAAGAATGAATAATGCACAGGGTTGAGAGGAAACTGGTGCAGAGAAGGAATACAACCAAAAGTCAGTCAGTTATCTCTCTGAGGTGAGAGGAGACAGAAGGTGAGGTGCTGATCTACTCGTGATTTTGATAAAAACTGACTTCTGATCAGGAGGTACCGTATATTTAAGACGACTGTTCATCTACTTATTGTTGCTCCTATACGCAGTCGATTTGTTATTTACACACACTGTGGGAAAGAGCTCTAGTTTCACCATAGCAACTCTCAGGCTGGTCAATAATCCACCATGGAGATGAGCGTAATACATCAGCAGATATTAATGACATACACTATTTCCATAATAATAATTCCATCGTTTGGATTAGTTATAAATAACTGTTCTAGGGAAATACACAAAAAAGTTAAGGGTTTTTTGTGATATTTAGAAATGTAAATGTATTCGTGATTAATTGTTATTTATCAAAATGTGATATTTAGAAATGTAAATGTATCCCAATTATTCGTGATTAATTGTTATTTATCAAGATTAATCCACAGTACCGCTTTGATAAATCAGAATAAAACCTTTAATCGTTTAATAATTATCTTTTGTTTGGCGACACCTCTGAGTAACTGTTTTGTGTTTGTTTTTAATAAATACGTTGTTATTGCTGACTAGCTTTTCTCACATAGTGCTGTCATATCTGTCGTGCGGAGCCTGAACAGCTGAGATCACAGTATAAAGACTAAAATTAGGTTATATGCGCTGTGAGCTGACGGTGACCCAAGAGGAAAGGCTACGTAAATTAAAGGATAACTCAACTCGATGTGTTGCTTTTCTCACTTTTTTTTTTAGTAGATAAAGGACACCGACGTCACCTGGGAGCTCGAGGAAACTGATGGGAATAGAGAGAAGTGCAGAGGAAGTCGATGTCTCCTGGTCGAAGACAAAAAAAAGTCTCACTGTTCTAATAAAACAGTAGGGTTTGACCTCTATTTGACCCGAATTGACAAAAAGTTAAATAATAGTTAAAAGATATTAAATACGCCCCGGTAACATTTGTGTCAACAAAGCAGGCATCGTAATAGAAATATTTCGACACACGTATCTGACATTTCTGAACTACTGACCACAGTCCAGACAGTCAGTTGATCCTTATAAGAGTTGCTGAAAATGTTCATACTTGTTTCATAAAATTTTAACCATTTTCGATTCTTTTTTTTTTAATCTGTCCTGTATGATTTATTTGCCCATTAAATATGGTAGTATTCGCTTCCAAAAGAAAATCTCTTGTGCCACCTAGTGATCACAGATGGTTATACAAGCAGCTTTTATAAATAATATTCCAAAACGTTTGCATTTCGTCTTGCATTCAGTTAAATGCAAATTTTAAGTATATGTATATGACCTAATGTCGGACTGCTGTCTCTCCTCTGGGTTAATTAGTTAATCACACTCACCTTTGTTCTGTGATGCTTTGTTTTTCTGTCTCACCTGGTGCTTCGGGTGTACACATCTCTCTGTGTCTTGGTGGAACTGCTGTTCCTGTCACAGATGGGGGTTCTCCGGTTTTCTCTTTTTCCCAGAATACTTTCTGTTGAATTTCTTCTTCTTCCTTTGCTCCTGCTGGACCTTTGTTCCCTTGTTTTGTTGGAAACTTAATTTAATTATGTTTGGACTTTGTTGAGTACAGTTGAGTACTACATTTGGGTCATTTTAAGAGAAAGCTCTAGCAATACACTGGTGAACAGTGGAAAGGTGTGGAGAAGGTTACTACACCACGGTAAAACCAAGGTAAAACTGGGGCTGTGACTACTTTAAATACTTTATTTAGAAAGATGTAACCAATAATGTGTAACCTGGTGATCTAACTTGAGACTTAAAAAATGTAATAATGTATTTATTGTTGCAAAATGTATACATTTTACATTTCAACTCTGTCTTAATATTCCCAGCAGTAACTTGTTAACCAAGTGTGTTTCAACCAAGGGGTTGTCTGGAATTCAAATGAGGTCACCTAAAATGTCAAGTAATTCTTTTTTAAGTACTGATAAAAATATTTTTCAACTAGTTATTATTCTTTTTACAATTCTGTTTACTTCACTACAGCTGTTCAATTCATTCAAGAAAGTTTTACTAACTTTTCTGTAACTGATGTTCTTTTTAACTTTTAATCTTTTTAACAACCCTCAAAGTTTCACCCAAAAACTCAGTATCACATGTACACACACAGTATTATCAATATTCATGTGAACAGAACTGGATGACGACTAAATAACAATAACCACATTCCATTTTATTATTACAATATGACACACTCATGATGATGTGACACGGAGACAGCAACAATGTAATAGTAATATTTACCTAGCAGTGTAATAATAGATTTTCACTAACTTTTGTTAACTACAGTATTTTGTGGTATTTAATAAGAAGGTAATTTGTAAGAAGATGTATATTTTACAACAAGTAAACTTCAAGTTGATCCTTTCCTGAGAAGTGAGTTTGGCCGTCAGGGTTTTTTTTAGAGTTGCTTAATTTACCTCAAAAAACATTAACACAAAGCTCATATTGTGCAGTTGCTGCTACTGTATGTGACAAAGTTAAATGCTGGCTGAAACTATCCTTATTGCACAAGGGAACAGGTGTAGTGTTGCCGTACAACCCACATTAACATATACCAAAAGACTGACATCTCCACATTTTATCAAGTAAAAGGCAGCATTAACATATACCAAAAGACTGACATCTAATTAGTGCAAATAGAAAATCAACCGACAATTATCCAGTCATACATTTAGGTTGACTGCATTATTGTTGTACCATTGTAGTGTCAGTTTGTAGGTCTAGATGGGGGTTTTAGAAACCATTTTGGCTGTGTCACTCTTTTATTGCCGATTGATCCTGCAGGAAGTAGTGGCGTCAGAAACTCTCAGAGCAGATTTCAGCTTCAGTGAAGAATACGATGAAGGTATCTGTCTGGATCGCCCTCTGTCACCCTCCTTATTCCAGTGCGCACTCTGAATGGGCTGTTAGACGAGCCTGCAGTCGGACTGCCGCTCTCACTGGGTTCCTCTGTGGTCCCTGTGTTTGTTTGTATTGTCTCTGCGTTGGTGTCTAGATGTGAATCTGTTCCATCAAGATCCTCACCTGCGTCCCTCACCTGTCTCTCACCAATCCTGGAGAACAAAATTAGAAACAACGGTATTAGAAGATGTGGAAAAATCCATTAGACACATTTGGTTTTGGCAGCGTAGGTACCTGAGGTGATTAAAGGCACGGAGCCAGTGTGATTCAAGGGCATCTCTCCTGTGTGTCCTCAGCCCTCTGCGGTGACTTCGTGCTCTGAGTCCAATTAATGCCTGAGCCAGCTCTGCCTCATCCCTGTGGCCCCAGACCAGCTGGGCTCTCTGCTCGGCATCTGGATCCCCCGCTGCCCTGAAAAGTCTCTGGAGCTGCCACAAATCCACACTGCTGAAAATGTTCCCTGCACCGGCCTTTCGACTTCTCCTCTCAGCGAGGCGCCACAGCGGGGAAGGGTCCTCCACGGTGGACGCAGGTGGGGACGATGAACCAGAATCCATCCAGAAAATTAAAGGAAAAGGTGGCATACAGGCAATTCATTCTGTATGAAAGCAAAAAAAAATTATCAGGTGTTAAACAAGGTTAGACATCTATAAAAGTATAAAATTATTTTAAATGCAAGTTGATTTATGATTTAAATGCAAGTTGATTTATAAAAAAAATATTAAATCTGAAAAAAAAGTCTATAGACTATGCTAATATACAACATTTTCCCCATATTGTTCAGAGGTGTTGCACTTTAGGCTGCAGTTACAATGACACTCTGTAATCTCTGTTTCTTCTGCTTCTAAATCCTTAATCCTTCCTTTAGGATGGAAGTGATGAGCTGTTCTCTAACCCCATTAAAACTACAGTAGGTAACGTTTCTCTTTTTCTAAGTTAGTTACATTGGCCAGAGAGACAGGTCACAAGGTCACAGCTGAATGTGGTTCAGATTAGCAGACTTTCCACTCGGGATAAACCCTAATCACATGTCTACCTGGGAGCTGTCTGTGATATACCCGTCATGTGATATAATTCATTTTGTTGTTGTTTTTAACCCTACTTTTCCCTCAGTGTGAAGCAAAGATATTACATACATTGCCTAATACAGTACATCCTGTTACAACTGTTGTTATCGACTCGTTGGAGGAAAAGAAAGGGGAAGTAATGCAAAAGCAGAAAAGGAATTTGTTGATTTGAATTTCTGACTTATCACATACCTTCACCCGAGGGAGTAGGTTTGATCAGTTTCATATTTTGTTCAGTTAGAAATTAAAAGCACTGACAGAAACACCCTGAAGTCAAAACGCACAAAAGTCAAGACTTAAATAAGTTTTTTTTTTGTTTTGTTTATGTCAAAAATTTGAAGTTTTACACCCGTTTGCTCTGGTCACGACCTTATTAATATTTAATGCCATGGTTAAAGCAACACTGGAATGTTCTTTTTTATATGTGGGTCACTGAGCAAGAATTTGCATTCTTTTTTTCGTCCATTTGAATCAACCATGCACCACATAAGTACTTGCATTCACGTCGCTTCTAATCAGCAATTACCTTACATTGTCATTAAATAGTCAAAACAGGTCTAGTTAAGTGCATTAAAATTGTGGTAATCTTTATTATTTTACGTTATAGGCTACCCGTATTGTCTTGTCCAATGGGTTAATAAACATGAATGTTATGTTGAAAAACAAAACACGCTTGCTTACCAGTAAGTGAATTGATGTTTTTGGTAGTCTTGCAGAACCAGTGCTGTTGCTCTTTAATCCAAAATATATCAGCTAAACAAATGCGAAAGAACCGCTGCGTATTAGCAGTAAATGTCTGCAGCTTCACCTGAAAACACTTTCTGTCCTTGAACAGCTCGTGATAACTCCAAACCAATGATCTTACAGTAACCAATAGGAAGACCGCGTTCCCGCTTTAGGGTGGGACATTGACAATATTTTTACCAATCAGAGGCAGTCTTAGGCGCGGTGTCTGTCGCGGGAGCCCCGCCTGTGGCCACGTAAGCCTAGTGACGTCAATGAGGCTGCAAACGGGAGAGGCAGTCAATGATGTGAGAGGGAAGTTAAGTAACATGTGATCAGCAGGAGATGACGCAGGCGGCGCTACATGAACACAGACTGTATTATCCCGTTGACACACATACACAGCACTGCGCAGTGTTCTACAAGATAAAATGCAGCGAATGGAACTTTTCACCACATTATTTTCGCCATTAAACCACGAAAGACCGTACAATACCTAGAATATTGTCACATATTGTAGCTATATTGTTTGTTCGCTGTTAATAATTCGGTGAAAACTTTTAAACAAATCCAAGAACTCTATAAAATTGCCCCGAAGAGGGCGCAATTTCCCTAAAATATTTCCAAAAAATATAGTGTATGGTATCACTATATATACTGTGTATAAATGTACATTACATAAAACAACTCATTTTGAAAGGATAAGTTGAGTGTAACCCTAAGAAGAAAAATTTAAAAATTTGCAACAAAATTAAAAACAAACAAAATGAGTGAAATATTTTAATATTTTTTGTAAAGTACTTGCATACACAACATGGAGGGAAAATACTGAAGTTATATTTATACTTACCAATAACAAGTGCCACTGTTCTTACCATGGCTCCCTTTATAACTATTGGAGTTGTTCAAAAAGATGACGGTTGAAATTTGTATTTAACAACAAAAAAAACATGCTGTTTCATAAAAAGGCAAGTGTTGGATTTTGTTTTGTCAACATTTTGGAAAGTTTCTTATATCTGTCCATTCATGAGTGCATTAGAAAGAGGAGTCCAGCAAGGGTGGAGCAGGCCTCAGACTTTGGTTCCTCCCTTCTCCATCTACCAATCCCACCTCCCCCCAAAAAACTCACAGCTTTAACAGAGGAAACGGAAAAGACGAAACATACTGGCTACAAGAAGGGTTTTCATTTCAAAACCCCGGGGCTGTGGAAAGAACAGAGATCTCATTTTACAGAACCAAACGTCACCACTCCGAGGAATCTAGTGTAGAAACCCAAGTCCGGTTCTTCAACTCCGGTATTTTAACTTTTTGTTCATCTTTTCGCCAGCTGGTTGCAGCTGGCAGAGAGCACCCGCCCTGTCCGGGTAAATAATCAAAATAAACAGGGTCACAAGAGTGACAAGAGTGTCCGGAGGAGAGAGATGCCAGCCCAAGCTTCCCAGCCACAGGTGAGGACGAACATCCTCAAGTTCCTGCGGAGTTTCTTGGGGATCGCCCGGATCTTGCAGATTGTGTTCGGCGCCGGACTGTGGATCACCATCGCCGCCAACAAGTACGAGGGCTCCGTCCACTTCGTCCTCTTTGTGGCCGTGCTCTTCTGGCTCCTCACCCTCGCGCTGTTCTTCGTCACCCTGCTGGACAAGCAGGACCTGGTGCCGCTGCTGGGAGGGGACCGCTGGTTGTACACCAACCTGGCGCACGACGTGGCCGCCGCCGTGCTCTACCTCCCGGCCATCGGTGTCTTAATCTACAAGACGGACTACCACTCGTTCTGTAACCTGGAGCTGTACCAGCACTTCTGTCCGTACAAGGTCTACTTGACAGCCGCTGTGTTCGCCTGCCTCTGCTGCGTGGCTTACCTCCTGTCCATCATTTATGGAGCCTGCAGAAAATGTCGGGGCGAGCAAACGGTCATCTGATCGGACTCTGGAGGTGAGAGGATGAGTACGAGGAGGGTGAGGGTGGGGGTGAGGATGATGATGGCCTCCATGGAGCGTTCACTACAAGATGATGAATAGTAAACTTCACTGTAACAGAACTCCACAGATCACTTCTTTTCTTCTTAAACCAAAGCCCGATGTTGAGGCTGAATCAGAAAATCACTCCATGACCAGTTACTCTGTAAAGGTACACTGTGTCATCTGTTGATAAAACAGTATTTTTGCCTTATATTTGTATTCGCAAATATGGAACATGAAATATTTTGTCAAGATTTCCATATATAAAATGTAATTACCCCCAAATTAATCCATTCTTACCTACATCAGGAGTGGCTCGTGCCTACAGAGCCTGTAAATACTACACAGTGTACATTTAAAGGATACTAAAGTGACACCAGCACAGTTTGGTTCTGCCTGATTTTCCCAAAACTGGAGGAACATTTTAAAGGAGCTCAGTTTTAGTCTCCAGTTTGAACGATGTCTCTAAAACACCCATGGAGGTTTTTTAGAATTTTTTATTTCATTATGTTTTAGAACTTGTTTGTCTTACCCTCATATGTATCAAGCAAATACATGTCCTGAAGCCTGAAGATGACTACAATCTTCAGAGCTGTATCCTTAGGTCCACCAACATCTGGGTCATGCATCATCATTCGATGGTACGGCTATGTTAATAATACTTTTTTTGAAATATTCATATTTCTTTAATTAATAAATACACATATTCAGAAGCTCTCCCTTAAACCTAGTCTGTTTTGAATTACACATTATTGAAAAGTTGCCCCAGAGACTGTGACAATTTTGACTCATTTTTTTGTTCCTTATTTTGGTTCCTTTGCAGCTCAGGCCGTTTTGGCTGCAGCAGATACAGTATTTCCATCCATATGAATATTACTTCAAAATAGACACACGTGTCTTTTTAAAATAATGAATGATTGGATAAGTGTTCTCTCTCTGTATTCATTCAGCTGTTTGGCAGAAGCATCATCTTCACATGTATTTTCACTATGCTGAAATCTTGCCTACTGTACCTTTAATGGCATTTTCCTCAAAGAGAATCAATATTCAGACTAAATTCGTGTTTGGTTCTAATACAGCAGTGAAACATATTCTATCTAAAATAATTTCCTGACAGGAGTCTTTTTTTACTAAGGTTGTTTTTTTTGAAGTTTTTTTTTTTTTTACTGTGGATGTTTTTTTATGAAATCTTTACTTTACATTTGAACAATTCTATTTTTTTTATTGTCTCATTCAATTCAATACTGCATCTGTATAAATTTATTCATGGCTTAAAAAAATGCTCAGAAAGTTTGCAGAGAAAAATATATAACATGAAAGGTGCTAAAAGGAAATCAGTGTGTGCTAAAAAAAAAAACTATATTTCAGTGTTTATTATGTAAAACCAAAGAGAAAAATTAAGAAAGAATAAAGTACAGGAAGTGGAGACGAGTTGATGTTTCTGTTTGTGTAAATGTCCAGCAAAGTTCCCAAAGAAGAAATTAGATCGTTTCCATCTTTGGTCATTACTAGAGTTTATGTCCACAGCTGCGTCTTTGGTGGCATTTTCCAAATGAAACACATATTTAAAGACACAACGGCGTCAGAAGGCCTGAGGAGCATCCTGTTGGGAGATGAAAGTCAGGGGCAAATGAGACGACATCAATTATGTCTGCATCTCAACCACAGGAAGGACACAGAGCCTATAACCTGCAGTTCTGGCAGATAATGACACAGGCACTCACACGTGCACAGACATATGAGAGTATGATCTGCCGTCTGTCTCTGTGTGAGAAGTAGATGGAGGAAAACAGTCCACAGATAAGAGAAAATACTCATCTACTAAGTCCAAAAAAACTAGTTTTGGATCAACATTTTCTGGAAAAAGAATATCACAAAGTTAATTCAAATTTGACTCTAGATATATATATATATATTATTTAAATGTTTATAAATGTTTAGAAGGTTATTTATGCTAAGCTAATAACGTCAGAGCTCCAAGCGTTACAGGAGTGTAAGGGTTAATGTTAACCAGCTGCAGCTTCAGGATATAAATCCAGCATGTCTGAAGGAGGAAAGGACCCCCCCTCCAAGCCCTCCCTTCACACACACAAACACACAGTGATCCGCCCTTTCCCCCTCTGAGCTTTCCACTGAAGTGTCGTCCTGTCCACGTGTCGGTGTTTGCAGAACGCAGAGAAGCTCTCACAAATGCCCCAAACACTTGTAAGTCCATGGCCTGTATTATTTGGTTCTCCAGGTTTGACCCCCGTCCACACCTCCCCCCAAAAAAGACTGAATACATAACTAAAAAGATAAGTTATGAAGAAAATATGATAATAATAATTATGTGCAACTGTTTGATTATTGGATATGAACTGGTGTGTGTGACATAAACAGTGTAAACAATCCAGGACTTACTGACAACATCAGTCATGTCTTATTGTACTTCTGGATGATCTACCATTACATCATGTGCTGACAATTAAGACCAGAAAAAATAGGTCCTTAAATTCCTACATTAACAAGTTTATAAGTTTAAGCTGCTCTGGCTCATCTGCTTTAATGTGAAGCAATATAGTTTTGGCTCTGGGTTTAAAAATAACAGGACTGTTGGGCACTTCCGGTTATATTTCCTGTGATATTTACCGGTACTCTGCTGACTTGACTAAAGAGACAGTTCCTGAGTGTTCCCTCCCTCTCGCCTGTAACTGACCAAATGTCCACTATTCTAATTCAGATATTATACTAGTGTATGACAGTATTTTATCACGGTACTCTGCTGACTTGACTAAAGAGACAGTTCCTGAGTGTAAAGATATATACTAGTGTATGACAGTATTTTATCAACAGTATTTTGATTTTGGGCATGAATTATGCACAGGGCTACTTATTGCTGTTTTATTTGTTTGACTTAGATACTTAGTGGAACACAAGAACACAATTTAATTCAAAAGAAGGTTTTGTTTCAAATGTTCATTTTCATTCCAATTCAAACTTTTTTCTCTCTATTTCTCACAGACCAGGTGAGTCTTTTTTTCTGTGCTTACTGAGCCAGCTTTAGTTGTTAGCATCGGGTCAGCACATAAGAATGGCTGATGAAAAAGTTCTTCAGGGGTTAGCTGATTGATTTATTTCAATCTGGCGAAATAGGATGTTACACAAAATCATGAAACATGGAAAGACACAGATGTACACAGAGCAGCGGTGCCCTGTTCACCACACTTTGTCATGATACTGCTGAGATGTACATTCCACCGTAGAAGGAAAACAAGGTTTGAGGAAATAGATGGAGCGACTGGCAGACCAATGAACACGCTGGTGGGAAAGATTTACAAAAGCATTCTATCTCAAAGTTCCCAGCTGGAATTTGAAGATCGACACTTCCAGTCTGTGTGAGGGTATAAATGGGGACAGTGTTCAGGGCGCTGTTGTTTGTCTCTGACACTCTCTACTCTGTGGTGTCCTAACTCAGATTCCACATCTGTAACTGAAGCTTTTTGCTCCAGCGATGCTTCTGAATGGCCCCACTGTTCCTGTGTTGTACGGAGAGAATTTTCAGCTGGTGGTAACTATTTATAGAACCTAGAAAACAGCACAGCTTCCTTTACTCTGCCAGCCCTCAGCCAAAATGTTCACAGCGTGTGAGTCTGGGAGTAACAGGGGGAAGGTGGTTTTGTGGTCACTGGGTGGATGAATTCACTCATTTCCTGTCTGACATTTAACGATTCCTGGCATGTAAAGACAGCTTGCGTTAGCAACACCTCAGTCATTCTTCAGTCCCACCATAGAAACATCTGGTTTAAGACGAGAAATAGAAAGTGTATATTACCATTCCTTTTTTTGTAAAATCCAACATCAGGTCATACAGATGGAGAAGTCTTCTTGAACAGGGAATCCCGAAGTGCAGTATAAGTGAACACGCACAGGGAGGACAAACAAACATTCGTGTAGATCACAGAGATTCTGATAATAGCCCACATACTTCAGAACACTTTCCTACTGTTTTCACACAGAGAAGGTTAAGTGCTGTCAGAAAGAGCTGTTGGAAGAAGTAGATACTACTACTGCTACTACTACCACTAATAATAATAATAATAAGTCATACGTTTGTATGTATGTAGTATGTACGGGATAATTATATATTAAATATATAATTAAAATGAAAAAGTTTTAACTACACTCCATAGCTTTGGACCTTGAAAATTTGCGTTGAAATTAAAAAAATAAAAAATAAATCTGTTGCAGGATCATTTTACTCCGCTAGATGGCAACATATGTTAAAGCAAAATAACATATAGCACTTGAGCGTCGTATTAGTATTATTTTTTAACAATATATTTTTTGTCATAAATGAATCGATGATTGTTTTATTTGTGATTCGTGTGTTTTAATATTAGTATTTTATTACCCCATAATTTAATCAAATATTCAGTTCAACTACATCAAAATATCATATTGGAAACAGCGTACGTGACTGCAGTACAGTCTGAAGGTCGAGGCGCTCGCTGACGCCCCGTGCCGTCATTGGTGGTAAGTAACATGACGTACTCTAGCGGAATACCATTGGTTGTCTATACCCGGAAGTAGGTGGGAGTACCTAATCCATGTTATAAGTATTTCAATTGATTTTTACAGCGCCGAGAGGAAACTGTCGGCTTCTCCCAGCAACTTCCTCGTTGAAATTTGATCTTAGCTAGTTATAGTTACTTTCTATTATTGCTGCAAGAAATATATTCCGAAATACAATGGCTGCCTACAGGTTAGTGCTCATCCGCCACGGAGAGAGCAACTGGAACCAGGAGAATCGGTTCTGCGGCTGGTTCGATGCCGACTTGAGCGAAACCGGGGAAAAGGAGGCAAAAAGGGGAGGACAGGCCCTGAAAGGTGAGGGAGACTCGGTTAATTCGTCTTATCATCCACTGGTGAATATCTGACGGTCTGTAGGTCGATGGAAGGCCGGGATTACATAACAGGCCTCTGTATCAGAGCCACATCAGACTCCCATCATTCTTCTGAATGTGGCCAGAACGTGATGAGGGAACGTGCAGAAGTGATGTTCTCGGTTTATGTGACTTTCCTAAAAGTACAGGCCGGAAGCCTGCAGACAAGGGCATTTCTCAAAGAAGGTTATAGCAAGATACTGCGTGTTTTCAGTGCTTTTAGTCAGAGAAAAGCAGCCTTCGACGGGAAATGTTTAATCCGTCGCTGAAAACGATTAAATGTCCATTGTATGTAATGTGACAGATAGTGACGGACCTATAATAATAATAATAATAATAATTTATCACAAGTAACCTTTCAATACAAGTCCTGTTTTAGAAAAGTTACATTTATTGAGAACTAAAATCATCAACTTAAATTGAACCATTATTTAATGTAGTGTTTTATTAAATTAGTAATACTGAGCACACAATTAAACAAAAATAATGCAAAGGATGAAGTTCTGTGGTCTAATAATTGAAGTTTAGATTGCACTACACTAAAGTGCACTACTTTCTTTTACAATTAGTGTCAACCCTGTTGAAAATCATAATATTTTACAATTCTGTACGTGTATGTTCTTTGCAGCACGAATAATTGGTGTGGAACTTATCCTTTGAACTCTTTTGTTGACCTTCTCTGTGTGTTTCTTACTGACACAGATGCTGGCTTTGAGTTTGACATCTGCTACACCTCTGTGCTGAAGCGGGCCATCAGGACACTGTGGCATGTCCTGGACAGCATCGACCAGATGTGGGTGCCCGTGCATCGGACCTGGAGGCTGAATGAGCGTCACTACGGAGGTCTGACGGGCCTGAACAAGGCAGAGACGGCTGCCAAGCACGGAGAGGCCCAGGTGAAAATCTGGAGACGCTCCTTCGATATTCCTCCCCCCTCCATGGAACCCGACCATGACTACTACACTATCATCAGCAAGGTGAGATACCATACCTTAACAACAGTGCATACACAACAAAGGAGTACGCAATATTATAGTACACATTGAGTAAGTTGATCAACATAAGAAGATCAACATGAGAACAATGTTCTATGGAATCAGTCTGGTTCAACAACTGCGGCTATAAGAATGAATCAAATCAGAGAAAATGCACACAAAGTTTTCATACTCTTACCTAATAGTATGTTTAAGGTGAGTTAATAAACGACTGGAAAGAGATCTGTAGGGTTGAAGTTCATAGTTCAGTCGTAGTAAAACCAAACTGATCATGTCTGTCTCCCCCTCCTCTAAAGCAGTCCTACCCTGACAGGCTAGTTGTTATGTTTTATGTCATTTATACATTTCAGGATCGTCGCTATGGCGATTTGACTGAGGATCAGCTTCCTTCTTGCGAGAGCTTGAAGGACACCATCGCACGGGCTCTGCCGTTCTGGAACGAAGAGATCGCTCCTCAGATTAAAC